GTTTTATCTATATATTTTTAAGCTTTATATAATCTTAAATTCAAAAATTAGTTATGCTTTAAAAATATCATTAATAGTTTAATTTTTCAACTCGTTCGATATATTTAAATACTTTAAACATAAATATATATCAAACAAAATCTGAATGAAATTGAAAGCACATTTTTTTTTTTAATTTTCTAGCTAAAAAATACAAGTTTTTGATTTTGTTCAATATTTAAAAAAATTATTTAAAATTTTTTTGTTTTTAATGTTCATTCATTTTGTTTGTTTCTTTGTGTTGAATATTTGTTTTATTTTTCTTTTTGCAAAAAAACAATTTAAATTTTCTTCATTTGATAAATTTTTAAACAAATAAAATTGAAAAATCTAAAAATTGTTTACTAGATTTGTTCTGTTCTCAGTTGTTTGTTAGTGTATGCATGTGTGTGTGTTCGTATATTTTTGTGCGTGGGTGTTTGTTTCTACTTCGCCTAAGCTCTTTGTGCTTGCCCCTGCGCTATAAGCACAGTTCTATAAATTCCCATCATTCCGTTTTCCCAGCCGTTTCTACAGTTTGTTAATAATCCAATTGCTGCCTATTGGTGTTGTTGTTGTTGTTGTTATTGCTGTTGTTGATCTTAACGCTTAGTTTCTACTATTTGGCATGGCCATTGCTGAGCACCGCTGGCAAAACATTCGCCTGCTGCACCACAGCATTGATTACATCCATCTCCTTTTTGAGGAAAACACCGCCCCCGCCTCCGCCGTTGCTGTTGCTGTTGCTGTTACTGTTGCTGCTGCTGTTGTTGTCCTCCTGATCCGATTGTGCGTTTGATGAGTTCGAGTTGTTTGGATTGTTGTCATGGGATATGTTCCGCTTGCGTAGACCGGCGGCAGCAGCATCCACCAGGTTGACGGCGCTGCTGGTCACCTGGCCGGCAGCCAGCTTTAGTTTGGGAAACTCGATGTCGCGCATCAGATCGTTTTTGAATTCAACGATGCCGCTGACGGTTTCGGTGACAGTCTTATCAATAAATTCCTCAATATTTTTGGTCTCCGCCTCTATCTTCTCCTTCAGCTTGCTCGACAACTGGTCCATTTCGCATTGATCATGCGGCACACTAACCGCGTCGCGGGCGGACGTCACATTCAGAGTTAATGGCGGCGGCTGTATCTTTTGCGAGTGCTGCTGCTGTTGCTGTGGGCGTGGTTGGAGTATTAGAGGCTGGCTATTTGGTTGTTGTTGTTGCTGTTGTTGTTGTTGGTGTTGTTGTGGTATTTTGTCATTACATTTAGTATGCTTATCGAGCTGCAGCTGGTCCGGAGCGGCCACATCCTGCCCGGCTTTGAGATCATTCTGAGCGGCCAACAGCGGCTGTGTAGCAACAGCCACCTGCCCGCTCCTGTCACTGTCAGCTGTTACTTCCGTTCCGTTAGAGCGCCGGGCCCGCTGTTCGCCGCGTATGAAGCGTGGTAAAATAAATATGGTCACTAGTGAAATAATATGAAGGCACAAATAAAATCTCAGGTACAATTTGATGCTGCCCTGTAAGAGTGAAGAGAGGAAATCAAATTAGACGAGAGTTAACAACACTGTGCTTCGCTTCCAAAGGACATACCATAAATTCAAGCATAACAAATGGGAATGTGGTGTAGCCCATCACGATGCGCGTTGTGATGCAGGTGAGAATGTCGTAGAACATGCGCGTAAACTGTGTGCTCTGGAATCGGTAGCGGAGCATGCGGCGCGCTGTACGGCCCGCCGTTACCATCAATGCGCCCGTGGCAAAGGTCAAATAGTAGCCCGGGTAGAAGCCGTGCCACACAGCGCTCAAGGCGAATGTCAGCAGAGTGCCATACTTCTTGGGCACGCGCTCGTAGACGAGTGTGCGCAGCCAGCGATTTGTGCCGCAGTTCCAGTTGTTGATCGCGTCCCGCATATTGGAGGCGAACTGCAGAGGGAGAGAGAATCGGGTATGAGTAATTGCATTTCCTTCCGCACTTCCTAGTGTAAGTAACTCACCTCGAATGAGAGTACATTTATGTTGGATATGAGATCCCATTTGGCATTGCCATCCTTGTCGTAGCCGGTGAAGCCCAGACCAGAATTATTGCAAATGGCATCGGCGAGGAGCCAGGCGTGATAATACTTAAAGCGTATGCAGGTGGTTGCCATCATGGCATACCACATTTTATAGGGTATACTATTGCCATCGATAAAGTCATCCTCTTTCATATTCTTCACTGGATATATTTTCACAAACTTCATAAATATGAAGGCACACACCATGCTGCCCAGCACCTTGCGTATGACTGTTTTCGTCGGAGATGGCTCCACAACCAATTCGGATCTGCCATTGTCCAGAGTGGCCTGCAAACAAGAGAGGCGGATACATTAGGGCTAGGTGTGCATTACAAATAATAAAGTCGAAGGGAAGGAGAATCAATTCATTATGCTGTTTGAAGTATGGAGAGGTAATGGAGAGCATAGGGGCCAAAGCGCTTCCATGATCAATATCTATCTATTTATCCTTCTTCATTAAGTATTTTCTCAATTTCTATCCGCTGGGTCATATTGCCATATTGCTAGGCATCATAATTGAAAAGGTAAAAAGACACTAACACATACTTCATGCTATAACCATATACATGTCTAGGCCCGCTCACTGACTGTCTCTGTCTCTCTCTCTCTCTCTCTCTCTCCTCTCTCTCCTCTGTCTATTTCGCGCACTTACATTGCTCGTCGGACGCTTTAACAGATTGCAGCCCTCGACAAATTCAATGTAGTCCTTGTAGAAGACCAACGGTCCGGCCATCAGGCTCTGAAAGTGCCACACATATGAAAAGTATTCCAATGCTGAAGGCATTTTCCTAATCGCATGATATTGCTGAGCCTTTGTCATGTCCTGCACAATGGGAGAGAGCAAAAGCCATTAGAACAGAACTGGAATCGAATTAAAATGGCACAGCTGTCACTCACCTCGTCTTTACGGACAAAACCGTCGTGTATGCTGAAGGCCAGGCTGGTGACCTTTTGAGTGATGATCATCAATGGTCCAGTTATGTCCAGTGCATACGAGCCATAGTCGTAGATCTGACGCATTAGGTGCACACACAGCAAATAGCCCATGGCAACAAGCAAGACACTTCTGCAAGGGATACATTAATTCCAATGGCAAATGATTCTCTGCAATGCACTTACCTCTGAACAATACGCGGATCCTGTGTGCGTATGACTATAAAGCAGATGGCCGGCAGTCCGGCAATGTGTATTGCCTGCTGGCCAAAGCAAAAGTAGCCAAAGGCCAGGCCAAGCGAAAGGGCAAAGACATGCCGCACCTCATAGGAGACCTTCGATGGATGTAGCCACGAGCGAAAAAGCGATGCCAGGAAGAGCGCCGATATTTGACACACTAGGAAGTTAACCTACAGTTTGAAGTGAAATAGATTTTGTTAGATTAATTTACGTGTAGTCTGAATAGTTTAGACATGTAGAAAATATTGTAGATTAATAATTGACGTCTTTCAGTTTCTGAGTGCCTAACGCAAAACCCAACCCGCAGAAACTAGAAGCTTTTTCTTCGAACAAAGTCGAGTAATTTTAAAACGCAATCGAATATCTTACAAATTATATTACATACTAGACATACTATAAATTTTTATGTATATAATATATACAGAACGCCCTAACTTGTTTTGTTGTGTAATTTGCTCGTATTTAAGTGTTCACAACTGCGCCTACAGCGCTTGTAGAAATTTTCCCATATATAAAATATAAATATATATATTTGAGAGCTGCGGTCGGCACGCTTTGCCCTTGATCACGATCATAGAGAAACGCGTGATTCTCGCTTCGATCAACCCGTACAGCTAGACGACAAAGGCCTTGGCCATCATTTGACTTTGCTATGCAAAAGCAAATGCATCCAATCGTAATTTCTATATACTATAAGTGATATTTATAAGTTTACAATTGCGAATTTCTTTCTTAAATTTCTTGGCAATTGAAATAGGTTCTCAATATTTTTTCAGATAATTGAACTAATTTATGAACTCAAGGAATACTATATGGTACGATTAAAATCACGTTTACTATACAGAAAATGAGAGCTACAAGAGTTCAAGTCGTGGGTGATCGATAGCGTTGTACTATCACTCGCATGCGCTCGGTACATTTCGATAGCATTTTGTGTGACACCATTAGAGTGCTGATAACGATAAAAATTATGATAAAAAAGGCCCCGACGAATCAACCCGTTAAACAATACGTACTGGGCGGTGAAATGTAATTCATTGTCAAGGTATTTTTTGATAATAGATAAACCCTACCACCCAGTCTTGAGGCGGATGTTCCAAACAGTATCATTCAGTGACTGCGTGCGTTATCTGTTTGGAATTACACTACCGACGCATTTGGAAATCAGTGCGAATAATAGAAGTATGTTAATGTGCGGCTTACTTATACTTGAGCGTTATCAAAAACAGAGAGCTTTTCAAACGTTATCAGCAAGAAAACAAAGAAATCAAGAAATATACATATTTATTATTTTATTTATTTATATTATATAAGAAACTCAAATAACTAGCCCCATATATGTCAATGAACGGAATATAGATTAAGGTTTTATTATTTTTAGAACTTAACCCCCAAGTACATTTGTGTCACTCATACTAAAGTGGAATCAAAATGTTTAAATGAACTAGTTAGCTGATTCTTAGCAATCACAGGCCCATTTACACATTTAACAATAGTTTTTCACTTGGCCATCAACTCTTTTAGATACATTCTTCAGATGTGGAAAACGGCTTAATAACTTTTCAATATGGTCGTCAATGAGTGAATCCGAAAAATATAAATATATGCAAATGCAACATTATATATTTAAGCTGTTGCGTTTATAAAAATGGATGAACAACACGTTAATTTTTTTAGTTTATTGACAATAAAAATTTCGATATTATATTAATACGAAATTTTATTTTCATTAACGGATAAGAACAAAATAACCGATGCATCCTTAGGGTATGAATAAGCTGCGATTTATTTGAATTGGTTTACAATTTAGGCTAGGCGTGTTGTAATACTTTCTTTTTATAAATCAATTACGCTTCGCAGGGCAGTTCTTGACCTGGTTCCGACGACGGCATTTTCCAGCCTGGATATCGAACCAGTTGCCCGACTTGCAACGACGAACCACCCGCTTACCTCCGCGACACTGATAGAATCGGCGACAATGGTTCGCATCCTGGAGGAAGATGCCATCCGCTCTCTGCTCACAATCTTCAGTGGAGGTGCTCACCAAATTTAACAAAGCCTTTTTAGCTCCAGTCAAAGCTTTTTGACTTCCTGACAAAACCTTTTTAGCCCCTGACACAGGACTATTAGTCACAGACGACACATTCTGTTTGCGACCTTTGGTAGTTGTTGCTGGAGGACAAGGAGTTGTTGTCGCACAAGTAGTAGTTGTCACACAAGTAGTTGTTGTCACACAAGTAGTTGTTGTCACACAAGTCGTTGTTGTCACACATGGAGGAGTTGTTGTCACACAAGTAGTTGTTGTCACACAAGTAGTTGTTGTCACACAAGTCGTTGTTGTCACACATGGAGGAGTTGTTGTTTCACATGGAGGAGTAGTAGTGAGACATGGAGTAGTTGTTGTCTCACATGGGGGGTTGTGGTCACACATGGAGGTGTTGTTGTCAGACATGGAGGAGTTGTTGTCTCACATGGAGGGGTTGTGGTCACACATGGCGGAGTTGTTGTCTCACATGGAGGAGTAGTAGTGAGACATGGAGTAGTTGTTGTCTCACATGGGGGGGTTGTGGTCACACATGGTGGAGTTGTTGTCTCACATGGAGGGGTTGTGGTCACACATGGAGGTGTTGTTGTCAGACATGGAGGAGTTGTTGTCTCACATGGAGGGGTTGTTGTCTCACATGGAGGGGTTGTAGTCGAACATGGAGGAGTTGTTGTCTCACATGGAGGGGTTGTAGTCACACATGGAGGAGTTGTTGTCTCACATGGAGGAGTTGTTGTCTCACATGGAGGAGTTGTTGTCTCACATGGAGGAGTTGTTGTCTCACATGGAGGAGTAGTGGTCACACATGGAGGAGTTGTTGTTTCACATGGGGGGTTGTAGTCACACATGGAGGTGTTGTTGTCTCACATGGAGGGGTTGTTGTCTCACATGGAGGAGTAGTGGTCACACAAGGAGGAGTTGTTGTTTCACATGGAGGAGTTGTTGTCAGACATGGAGGAGTTGTAGTCACACATGGAGGAGTTGTTGTCTCACATGGAGGAGTTGTTGTTTCACATGGAGGGGTTGTTGTCACACATGGAGGAGTGGTTGTCTCACATGGAGGGGTTGTTGTCTCACATGGAGGAGTTGTTGTCTCACATGGAGGTGTTGTTGTCTCACATGGAGGGGTTGTTGTCACACATGGAAGAGTTGTTGTCACACATGGAGGAGTTGTTGTTTCAGGGGTTGTAGTCACACATGGAGGGGTTGTTGTCACACATGGAGGTGTTGTTGTCTCACATGGAGGAGTTGTAGTCACACATGGAGGGGTTGTTGTCACACATGGAGGAGTTGTTGTTTCACATGGAGGGGTTGTTGTCACACATGGAGGAGTTGTTGTTTCACATGGAGGGGTTGTAGTCTCACATGGAGGAGTTGTTGTTTCACATGGAGGGGTTGTTGTCACACATGGAGGGGTTGTAGTCTCACATGGAGGGGTTGTAGTCTCACATGGAGGGGTTGTAGTCACACATGGAGGAGTTGTTGTCTCACATGGGGGGGTTGTTGTCACACATGGAGGAGTTGTTGTTTCACATGGAGGGGTTGTTGTCACACATGGAGGAGTTGTTGTCACACATGGAGGAGTTGTAGTCTCACATGGTGGGGTTGTAGTCACACATGGAGGAGTTGTTGTCTCACATGGAGGGGCTGTGGTCACACATGGAGGAGTTGTTGTTTCACATGGAGGAGTAGTGGTCACACATGGTGGCGTTGTTGTCTCACATGGAGGGGTTGTAGTCACACATGGAGGAGTAGTTGTCTCACATGGAGGAGTAGTGGTCACACATGGCGGAGTTGTTGTCTCACATGGAGGGGTTGTCGTCACACATGGAGTTGTTGTTGTCTCGCATGGAGGAGTAGTTGTCTCACATGGAGGAGTAGTTGTCACACATGGAGGGGTTGTTGTCTCACATGGAGGGATTGTTGTCTCACATGGAGGGGTTGTGGTCACACATGGAGGCGTTGTTGTCTCACATGGAGGAGTTGTTGTCTCACATGGAGGGGTTGTTGTCTCACATGGTGGGGTTGTTGTCTCACATGGAGGTGTGGTTGTCTCGCATGGAGGAGTAGTTGTCTCACATGGAGGAGTAGTTGTCTCACATGGCGGAGTTGTTGTCACACATGGAGGGGTTGTTGTCTCACATGGAGCGGTTGTAGTCACACATGGAGGAGTAGTTGTCTCACATGGCGGAGTTGTTGTCACACATGGAGGGGTTGTTGTCTCACATGGAGGAGTAGTGGTCAGACATGGAGGAGTTGTTGTCTCACATGGAGGAGTAGTGGTCACACATGGCGGAGTTGTTGTCTCACATGGAGGGGTTGTTGTCTCACATGGTGGGGTTGTTGTCTCACATGGAGGCGTTGTTGTCTCGCATGGAGGAGTAGTTGTCACACATGGAGGGGTTGTTGTCTCACATGGTGGGGTTGTTGTCTCACATGGAGATGTGGTTGTCTCGCATGGAGGAGTAGTTGTCTCACATGGCGGAGTTGTTGTCTCACATGGAGGAGTAGTTGTCTCACATGGAGGAGTAGTTGTCTCACATGGAGGAGTAGTTGTCTCACATGGCGGAGTTGTTGTCACACATGGAGGGGTTGTTGTCTCACATGGAGCGGTTGTAGTCACACATGGAGGAGTAGTTGTCTCACATGGAGGAGTAGTGGTCACACATGGCGGAGTTGTTGTCTCACATGGAGGAGTAGTGGTCAGACATGGAGGAGTTGTTGTCTCACATGGAGGAGTAGTGGTCACACATGGCGGAGTTGTTGTCTCACATGGAGGGGTTGTTGTCTCACATGGTGGGGTTGTTGTCTCACATGGAGGCGTTGTTGTCTCGCATGGAGGGGTTGTTGTCTCGCATGGTGGGGTTGTTGTCTCACATGGAGGTGTGGTTGTCTCGCATGGAGGAGTAGTTGTCTCACATGGAGGAGTAGTTGTCTCACATGGAGGAGTAGTTGTCACACATGGAGGGGTTGTTGTCTCACATGGAGCGGTTGTAGTCACACATGGAGGAGTTGTTGTCTCACATGGAGGAGTAGTGGTCAGACATGGAGGAGTTGTAGTCTCGCATGGAGGAGTAGTTGTCTCACATGGCGGAGTTGTTGTCTCACAAGGAGGAGTTGTTGACTCACATGGAGGCGTTGTTGTCTCACATGGAGGGGTTGTTGTCTCACATGGCGGAGTTGTTGTCACACATGGAGGGGTTGTTGTCTCACATGGCGGAGTTGTTGTCACACATGGAGGGGTTGTTGTCTCACATGGAGGGGTTGTAGTCACACATGGAGTTGTTGTTGAGCACGGTTGCTCGGAGTCAGGCGCACCAGCGTCTGCGCCTAGATGAATACGAAGGGCCAAACCTCTAAAATTGAAACAATTGACCTGGCTGGATGTTTTGCACGACTTGCTATCCTCGTCGAACGACTGTCCTAAGTGACAGCTGTGATGTACTGGTCGACCACGGGTGCAGATATAATATCCGGCACATCTGGTGGGATCCGCTAAATGGTAGCCATCTGCAACGTTGTTACAGCTGGGTCGCAACTGCTTTTTGTCAGCAATGGTAGGCTGCAAGGAGACTGCGACAACAGTCACCAGCCCAACAAGGACAACATTTACTGCAAAAGTACAGGCGGAAGGCCATTATACGGATTCCTCATGACATTCTGCTTCACTTACAAAATTTCATCGGAGTCTCTGGTCTTGCTCGAAAGGACAACTAGTTGAAGTGGTTTACTTTACCGCTTTCGACTCCCAATGGATGCAGTAACAACTTCAGAGGTGTCTTTTATACCCCACTAGAACATTTGTTGCCAACTCAAGTGCCTTACCACACAATTTGGCTAATTGGCAGCATTCAATTTGCTGTGCAGACAATGTTAATGATATTTACAATATAAACATTAATATATAGATAATGGATGCCACAAATTGTATAACATTTGCATGTAGCTCTAAGCACAGCTGCACTCTATACTCATTGAAACTTTTAAGAATGGGTATATGACAGGAGTTTTAGTACATATCATATGTATGTACATATATATAATACATCCTATATTATTGGCTTAAGTATTTGCATTATCTAAAAAAATTGTTCAGCTCAGTAAAACATAGTTAATTAATTATAATTTATAATCATTTTATGTTCGTTTTCCATGCATGCAACGAAAATCGATATATTTCTTTTAAGTTCTAATTAGAAGTTATGAAAAATTTCGATCGATACGTTATTTTTGTTATATACGAACCATCGAGCGTAAATAAGTAAATAGCAGTTATGCCAGATAGATGAATTTCAAGGGTCTTGAAGTACATTTATCAATAGTTTTGCTTTTTATCTCTTGGTCCACAATTTCTCGTGTTCAGTTTAAGCAGAGAAAACATTTGAGTAACTTGTATTTGAAACCATATGGGTATTTATAATATCATTACTGCGACAAAGAGTCGGACTCGCAACTACCCATGGGTCAGAGACAAAGACGATCGAGGCCTGATGTCGAGACTTTTGCGTCATAAAGATAAATTCTTGATACGATTATCACGCGTTCTTACATATTTTTACAAATTCGTGCATATATGTAAGCTCTTGATATGTCTATTTTCTGTTTCCCCATTTACGGGTATTTATGGAATAAAAATTAAGGAATAAATTAAATAGAGAGCAAAACTAATATAGTTAACAGCATTATTGAAATCAAAAGCAAATTGTATTCGTCTATGCATACTCAATAGTCAAACATACTATGAAGCAAAAGTGCCCGCTCGAAAGACAAGTACGCGGAAGGAAGTTGTCTGTCAGACGGCTGAGCTAAGCCAAGGTCTTTGTTATAGTACCCCCAAGATAAGAAAAGGAGAGAGACAAAGGGGGGAACACTAACAACGGTAGACAGGGAGAAGCAAGCGCTTACATCACAAATTGAAGCTCTCATTTATTTGTATATGCGCTTAGGCAAAAAAAAAAATAAAATAAAATAAAACAGGTATCAATATATAAGAGCTCAAGGTGAGATGACTAATTGAGCATGAGAGCCAACAGCGCGTGGAACTGTATCTGGTAATATATATCTTATAATTACAGCTATAATATCGTATCAGGTAATACATATATATCATGGAATTGATCGATGGGTAATGATCAGCAGAACCGTAATAGCTAACAACAATATTATTTGTATGATGTAGTGGAACAGTTATTTGAAATAGAACTACATTAGCTATTTTCGTGATTTAAATAACGTGTAATCTTTATTTCTCTACCCATCTCTCGCTATCTCTCGCTCTTTCCCTCAAGCACTGAACCAATTTATCTCTCTCTCTCTGTCTCTCTCTTTCGGTCTTAAGCAGTCAGCGATTTTATATAAAGGCATACTACACACTGTTCAGACATTCTTCCCTTGTTTTTCCGCCGGAAAAGCTGCTGCATCCACGCAGTTTGCTTGCATTGTCCATGCAAAGGGCATCCATATTATTATCTGTCTATCTAGTATAAGGTCAAGCTAATAAGCCTTGTTCCATAACAATGCAAAAGATTGTGTTCGACATTCCGTCAGAGTTGAGTAAATTAAACAGTGACAGAGTCACTTATAACACTTATATACACAGCTTGTGACTGACAAGAATGCCAGGTAATGGTAACTCTCCTCTATTAGCTATTCTGCGACCTCTTACCTCCCATTTTAGCTTCTTCTCTTTCCACACCTGCTTTTCACATGCCGTTACTACCAAATATCTATAAAGCGCTATACTGATGGCTGATTATGTTAGTGACATTCACATTGACTATCGTTCATCTCTAAATATTAGCTTCTCTCTCATTCTTTTTCTAGTTTTCACTTTCATCGCCTTTGTTCGTCCCATAAAAAGCTTGTTCAAGCCGGCTTTAACCACTTGAAATGCAGCCTGCCTCCTCCCCAGTTTGCCTGGGGCTCTTAAATTGTTGCATAGAATTTTAGGGGCTTGTAGCCAATAAAGAGCATTAATCGAGCACTTAACATGTGTTAATGACTTTGCTTCCTTCATGCAGTACACACAAAATAAATAATGCAAAAATTAGAATGAAAACAAAGCATAAAGAGTTAAATTAAATTCGCCCCCAGATTTGCACTTTGCCTTTAACGCAATGGACTTTGTATAAATCGCCAAATTTCAGCATAACCAAAAAAATAAAAAATAAAGGTGGCGTGATGACTATAAATAAACATGAAAACAATAAAAGCAACAACAATCACATTCTGTGTGATAAAAAATAGAATAAACACAATAGGGTTTTAAAGTTGGCGGCAAAGCCCAAGTGCACACAGGTAGATAAGGACAGAAGGTTGTATAAAATGATGAACGCATTACCCATTTTGGGTTTCAATTACAGCTAGAGATGGAACTATCGCTAGAGTAACGGAAATATAAATTATATATGTATAATAATTATATTTAAATTTTGATTGGTTGCAGAAAACAAGCATTGCTATAAATATATATTCTTCTAGATGAATGTATACATACATATAATAAAATACATATACTTAGTGGCGCCACTTGCGAAGCAACTGCTGACAATTGGCAGCTAGCAAGACGCAAATAATCAACAATTTCAAAGAGTAGCGCACACACTTACACACAACCTCAAGGTCATATACAAATATTAATTTCATATTATTTATGCATGGCAGAAAATGGCAAAGAGAGAACATTTACGCTCTCGCTTTCTCCCCAGCAACAACAGGGGGCGCAACTGGTTGGCACGCATCTCTAGAAATCATTTAAAAGGCGCATTTGCTCGCACGTGTCGAGTGGTTTAGACTCACAAGTTCATGTTGTGTTGTTGCGCACTTGACTTCACATTCATATACATAAATATATTAATTATATATGTACAGAGAGGAAGAGAAAAAGAGAGAGACTACCGATTACAATTGTAACTAGCTCTCTTCTTGAAGACTGCTTCGACACGTATCTCTGGTAATGAATTTACAGCGCACTTGAACTGGTTCGCTCAAGCTCACATGTTCACCAATGTTGCTGCGCATTTGCCTTAGTATTTCGAGTGCGACGCATAACTGAATACAAAAGAAGACATAAAGAGAGTAAAAGGGTGGGTGAGATATATGTATTTATGTTTGTATGTATGTGAAGAGAAAAAGAGAGAACTGGCCGGCTCTTTTCGATGCTTTTAATTTGCACATCTAAGAAGACATTTATTGGACTGCAACAATTGGCCAATTTGCACTTTAGGCAGAAAAAAAATAATAATGGTTCGTACTTATTTGCGTGCTTGGCTTTGGCCTTCGCAACAATTTACATAATAAAACTAATCAAATATTCGGTGCTGATGATAAAGCTGGTAGATTGACCGATTACACCATGCTACGACAAATGGCGTCACACCACCCACCTACACACACACATACACCACGACCTTCTTGCGAATCGAAATGTGTCACAACTCAAAAGAAGAAAAATAGTTAATGTTAACTTTTTATAGCGAAGAAACAATTCGTGCGCAAAGAAACACTATGTGCATGTGTGTGAGCCATGGTCTACGGTACAAACTGACTCATCCAATGACTACTCTCACTCTCCTTCTCTCGCTCTTCTCTGTCGCACTCACTCAGCTGTTGCCAATTCTTTGTTTACAAACAAACATCAGCACTTTAAATTTAAATAGAGAACGAAGTTGTTAGCACGCTTGTTGTTGTAGTATAAGATTCATATTTTACTGGGCTGACGACATATGGGGGATTAGATCATCAAAAGAAAAAAATTACGAGCATTTGAATTTGTTAATATGTACATCAGCCAATTGCTTGCACTTCCACACATACACGTGCGTTGCATTAGATTAGTTGCCTGCTTAGCGCCACTCGAAACGGATTAAACAAGCTCATACGACGAGCTCAGAATTACGCATACACATAGACATTATAGACACACATACACATTGGCATATATAGGCACGAAGTTGCTGCAGTTAATCGTCTCTCTTGCTGCTCTCATTTGATATTGCATATCTATGCAGCTAAGTGTTCACAGTTAATCACACTCGTTTCGCTCATTTGATATTGTGTTCTCACGGTTTCATTTATGCAAATGCGCGCGTATACATATCTCTGGGTATGTGTGTGTGAGAGAGTGTGTGGGCTAAACGTGTCGCCTCGTCTGTTGCAGTCTCAGCTGTTTGCTCAATTGGCAGCGCTTCAAGTGTTGTGATTAATTCGCAACGAACTCATTCAATTACACAATTTTATAAGATGATGCACTCACAACATGAATAACAAATATATATACACGTACCGAATTAATCAGCAAATCAATAATTTCTGCATTCAATTCGATTTTATAATCAAAAACATAAATATATAAACTAGAGATAGTTGGAGACCCCTTCGTGTCACGACATTCACCCCAACTCTAATTGAATTCCATACAAATTGCGTGTGTACATGATTTCACAACAATAACAATGGGCAAAGGTTAATGACAGCGTGCTGGGTCGCAATATGCAAAGAAAGTAGAGCGCAAAAATAAAAAGCAAATAAAATGCCTAATTAGAAAACAAGGAGCGAGTTCAAAGAGTGGGCGGGTTAAGTGAATCGCACTTCGAAAATAACGAATTCGATTACCAAAAAAACAACAAAAATCACTGTTTTGGCAATGACATGTTGCACGTGCCTTTGTGCGAGTAAGATGGCAAGAGGAAGGGAGGGAATGTAGCAGGTAATATATGCAGCCGGCGTTTAGCCTTCAGCTCGCAATGGCACAGGGTGAGGCAATCCTTGTGTTTAACAATCAAATGGAGCCCGTAACAACAATGTGGATATACTGGTTTCCTACATGGAGTAGTTGGTTGTTTGTTTTCTTCTTTTTTTTTTAATGATATGAATGTATGTACATACACATATAACTTACCAAATCAACAGACAGTCCAACCATGTCGGCTAGCCAGGAAAAAATGCGGCTGCCATCGTAGCAATCATTCTCAATAAATTTGGGCGATTCGAGCATTTTGATTTTGATTTTCTGGTATTCTCTTTTTGCCTTTATTGCTTCATTTGGAACACAGTTAATTCACAATTTAGCGCGTGGTTGTGGTTCACAATGAGAGAATTCCGACGTCGCGTTCAACAAATTACGGAAAATTATAGAACACTTTATTTTTGTGCTTTGTTGTGGCTTTTTGGACTTTTATGAATTTTGTGCAATAATTTTTTATTCCTTGCTTGCTCTGCATATAATACATATGTATATCTATTTATTTTGTAATCGCACTATGCGTGCGTCAAAAAATAAAAAGCGAACGTTTTCTTTGCACCGCGCTCCTCGCACTTACGACCGACCCGATTGGAAGAGAGAATCTTACTGCGAGCCAATTCTGGTTGAAATGTTTCCGATGCCGAAATCAAAAACGAAAAAAAAAAAAAATAATGTACACACACATGTGTTTGTAGGTGTGTTAGTGAGTAGTCAAACTTAAGCCTAGTGATTCAATGAAAAAGTATTCAATTCGAGTAACTATTATTTCTATGGCATATAAGAAATATATCGAGTCTTTATGCGTACCTACATATTTAAGTACATGGACACATCTTAACATTAACACAAACTGTTATTAACAGCAAACAATGTTCTATAGCTACACTGACCAGAGATAGCTAACAACACTGACCAAAAGTTTTGTCAGTGCTAACAATCTGCTTAAGAATGTATCTTCTATAGACCAAATTTTTTATATAGCTTACGATAATAAATAATACATTTTATGTGAAAAATATTCAACTTTAGAATCGGTTGTAAATTTTGATTTTGAATGTAACAGCTGTACTCTGATGCTAGATAAACGAGTACTGTTAGCTGTATCACTGGTCAGTGGCTGAATCAAAATATAATCGATACTTTTAGAAATAAAAGAACCACTACAAAATACCGCCAAAACTAATAAATAAACAAAATAAATTTTAATGATATTGTTGATAATTTCTGTTTTATTTAAATATTGATATTTCGAATAATTAATATTTGTGTACAGGTAATACTTTTATATTAATTAAATATAATGATTAAAGTTCTAGTTTAATGGTGGTGCTAATAAAAATTTGAATTGGTATGATTATTAATTATTATTGGAGTTGAATTGTAGTGTTTTTAGCATGAACTTTTATTTTTTTGAAAACTGAAACTACATAAATTTGGTAAAATCAACTATCGATATTTCGATTGTTGCTGCCAGCGCTCATGTTAAGAAGCGTAACGTTAACAGTTTTGTTGACATTGTCGACTATTTTATTAGGGATTGCGTCGCAAGCAGGGAATATGTACTAAATGCGAGTTTAATTAAAAAGAAATAGCTTATATACCAAATAAAAGTAGATAAAAGCCGTGTTGAAAACTAGCAAATTGAACGGAAAGAAGTATTTATAATGAACATATACAACAGACTGCGCAGCAGAGAACATGGATTGGGTAAGGCGAAAGTAAAAACAATTTTTTTTTGGCGCTCGAAATGAAGAAGAAGAGTTCGCGCCGATCGCTCCTTGCGCGGTTAAATCGAGCGCCAAAAATAAATTAGTTGTGAGTTAGAAAATTGCTGTGTAAATTGAGTTGAAAGTGTTGTAATATGAGTTATTGAGATTTTGCTGAGTTTGCAAAAGCAAATTTGGAACGTAAACAAAGCGCGAGAGCATTTTAAACGAATTTATAACTAATTAACTGCCATTGCAGCCAATGATTGCTCCTATGACTTTGCGCTGCATCGCTTGTGCGTCTACAAGCAGGACAGCTGGCGCGGCATTGCGCCGGCCAACTACAGTCCCGACTTCAACCCGGAGCCCCCGATATTTTCTGCGAAGTTCGCCAACTGTGATGGCTACCGACATATTCTGGCTATAGCCAACGAGGATGGCAAGATTGCACTGCAGGACACGACGGTACGCAATCAGGAGACGGAGGAGCAGGCACTGAGTGCCCCACAATGCCACTTCAATGCGGTCTTCGACTTGGAGTGGGCGCCGGGACAAATGCGCTTCGTGTCGGCCTCGGGGGATCACACGGCCCGTCTGTGGGAAGTCTCCGGGTCTGGCATACGGGGTCTGAACTCCTACGTGGGTCACACCAGATCCGTGAAGACGGCCGCCTTCAAACGCACGGATCCGGCCGTCTTTGCCACAGGTGGACGCGATGGCGCCATACTGATCTGGGATATACGCGCGTGCCTCCACGCGGATCTCACTTCGCGTGTGGACAACTGCATCTACAGCGGTCACACGGGTGGGCCAGGCACACCGCAGTCGCAGCGCAGGCAGAGGACCAGAACGCCCAAGATGACCAACTACAGCAGCAACACGTCGAGCAGCATTACAGGCTTGGCCTTCCAAGATAACGATACGCTGATTTCGTGCGGAGCTGGCGATGGTGTTATCAAGGTCTGGGATCTGAGGCGCAATTACTCGGCATACAAGAAGGAGCCATTGCCGAGGCACAGCCTGCCTTATGCCGGCTCCTCCACGTTCAAGGGATTCACCAATCTCATAGTCGATGCATCGGGCACGCGGCTCTACGCCAACTGCATGGACAACACGATCTACTGCTACAACCTCGTATCGTATGCAGCCAAGCCCATTGCCAGCTACAAGGGCCTGCTCAACTCCACGTTTTACATCAAGAGCTGCCTCAGCCCGGATGGCAAGTACTTGCTCAGCGGCAGCAGCGACGAGAGGGCCTACATATGGAACTTGGACCATGCTGCTGAACCGCTGGTTGCCCTCGCTGGCCACACAGTAGAGGTCACCTGTGTGGCCTGGGGCTCCACGCATGATCGTCCCATTGTCACCTGCAGCGACGATGCCAGGCACAAGATTTGGCGCATTGGCCCTCAGCCGGAGAGCCTGACGGCAGCCGAGCGAGCAGAGCTGTTTCGTGGACAGTCGAGCTATGTGAGGGAGTTCGGTGGGGCAGCCAAGGCCAGCTCCTCCTCGCAGCACAAGTACAATCTGCGAGACTTGGAGTCCACGCCGCGCTCGTTGAAGCGGCTCATGGAGCAGAACGAGCGCACGCCCAGCTCCGTGGAGAAGACAAGCATCAAGCGTTCCTTCCTAGAAATGCTGGGCGGCATTGGCGCTGGCAGCGATGGCAATCAGCAGCTGGAACAGCCGCAGCAGAAGCGCACCAAGAGCTTTGAGTCCCGAGGACGTCGCCTATTCGCAGCTAGCAGTCAGCCGCAGCCGCAGCAGCAGCAACTGCCCGGCATAGTTGAGGAGGAAGCATCTGCCACGCTGTCCAGCAATCAGGAGAATGTCCAGGAGCAGCTGACAGCCCCCGCGACAGCAGCCGCCAAGCTGTCGACACCTTCACCCTTGAGTGAGCTGCCGACGAATCACAACTACAACTCGCCGCCCACGACGTCTGCTCAAGCGGCAGCCGCAGCCGCAGCTGCAGTTGCAGCTGGAGCCAGCTCAGCGAACTCAGAAAACTCTTCGCTTTCGCCGCCCTCGCTCAGCTCGTTGATCTACTCGCCCACCTCAAACCTGCCCAACTATGTGCTGGACGGCGAGGCACCGCACCTGACCATCATGTCGCCCAAGCGCAAGGCCAAGGAGAAGGTCGACTGGCTGACGAAGATACGCAAACAGAAGTTGATGAGCCGAGGCAGCCTGACGCTCAGCGAGAAGATGGGCATGGAGGATGCATCGCTGGATGTGCTGGCTTCGTCGCCACGTCTCCAAAGCCTGCGTCACTCCGAGTGCAGTCCCCGCTTGCAGGCGACGCCCAGGCGGCGCATATCGCATTCCGATAACAATGCGCCGCATCTCCGAACGCCCACCTCGAGTAGGCGGAATAGCGAGACGACGCTGCTGCGCTTCTTCAGTGTACAGCGCAGCGGAAGCGTGACTGAAGCTGCCGATGCTGCTGCCAGCCAAGCCGACCTGAATCCCTTGTCTCCGCCAGCTTCAGCGCCCGCTGCAACGAGTCCCCTGCTGCGGCACACGCCCAGGGCAGCCGTTGGCAGTGACTGACCCTGTAGCCACGGAATATGCCCTCTCCTACTGTTGTACAAACATGAACCCCAAATTCAGCCCTACCCATCCCGATTCCCTTACCGATTCTCTTTACTGGACATACCTTAGCCTAAGTCTCCAAATTTAAGTCCTTTCCCCAGCTTAAGTCAACGAAATGGCCTTTCACTCTTTTGTACAAAAACTATATTTAATATATCATATTTGTAATCTATATAGTATATCTAACATATATATATAGTCTGTATAGCTCTAAGTTCTCCTGACATGCATGCGCTTTTGGCTGGGTCAAGTTTACTTTTAACGACAATAAAAACTGAATTTGTTTTTAAAGTTAAGTCTGCACAAACTTTGCTCTTTAAGGGGGAGTGCAGGATTCGAAGGCCAAATAATGGGTATTACTCTTAGCTCTTCGAGCTACTCGATGTATCCCCACGGAGTTTATCCCAGTGAAACAATCAATTAAAACAATTCAAGCTTTCATAAATCTTAATTCTCTTTAACATGTTCTAAATTTCAAGAATTTTTCGTCTATTGCAATTTCTTTGTGATCTTTGGGTCATCATTCGTTAGCTGTGCTTGCTTCTACTCCTCCTTCTCGCGCTCCAGTTGCTGCTGCTGCTCCAGCTGGCGCTTCTGCTTGACAAGCGTATTTAGCTTTATGATATGGCGGATATGACGTGCCACGCCCACCAGCAACACTAGGTGGCTCACGTGTAGAACGATGCTGGAGAGGTTGGTGCTTGGATAGGTATTGAAGCTATACTCGATGCCGCCCAGGATTAGGAACCGTACGCCCACCGAGTACGGCGTGGACCAGACCAGGTAGGGCAGCGAGTGGAAGTACCAAACATAGAACTGATAATGCAGCGAGCGGGCGCAGACGACGCCGATGAAGTTGCAGAGGAAGAAGGGCAGCAGAGCCAACTGGGTGCAGTGCTCGAAGGAGATTTCGTAGGGCTTCCGCTTGGACTCCTTGACCGGGGCAGGGGGTCGCTTTTGCCCGGTGGCGTTCTGTAATCCCTTTTCGAATGACTTCAAGAAAGACTTTTGCTCCGCCGTTAACTCCTCCTCATCCTCCTCCTTGTTGCCCGGCTCCAACTCCTGCGCTTGCTCCTGCTGCTGGGACTTCTTCGATTTGCTCCTGTGATGGGACTTTTTCTTAGCAGCCTTCGCTTTCTCCTTCTCCTCACGATTCTTCAGCATTAGTTGGGGCAATATGATCTGCTGCACCTCGCGCAGGTGCACGTAGCTCTTGAAGAACGTCCAGGTGTACTTGGCGAAGGCCAGGAGCAATAGCAGGTGCAGTCCCAGCAGCGCCAAATGAAACTCGCGCTGCTCGAACAGCTCCCGAGTCAGGAACCTATAGTTCACCGTCCACTTGTGCTCGAAGATGCGTCCCAGGTCGAAGCTCCCGGTCAGATACTCCACCGGATGAGTGCGCAGAAAGGGATAAGCTATCACTACCTGGATCAGTCCGCATATAAAGAGGTGCACAATAGTCAGGAGCACGCCTAGGTTGGCCAGGTAGAACAGCAGCAGCGCCGGCGCAAAGAGTAAAATGTTCATCTTAACGCCTACAGCGAGACTGTAGAAGATGGTGCCCCATAACCAGCGGCTATCCATGAAGAGATTGAGCGATGCATATAGCAGCAGCACGGCCACGGGATCGTTGAAGAGGCGCAGCACATAGATCGAGTGTATGCGATACGACGTAAAGGCGGTCAGCACCAACATGTAGGGCGGCACCTTGCGACTCTTGGCATAAAGCCGCAGAGCGAGGCACATTTGTAGCAAGTAGATGCCGGTGTATATGTACTGGGCCAGGCGCACGTTGCTGCCGTGAGCGGTCAGGTAGTAGAGTGCAGAGTATATGTAAACAAAGGCAGCCGGATAGACCAACGGGCCGGTGTCACCTGTGGAGGGTTCAAAACATACACTGTGAAAGTAATTCAAATCGCGATGATGGCGGGCAAAGCAATGTTATCGAAAAGACCAGCTCGTGAGCTCTTCACGCCTATAAAATATCGTTAGAGATGGTTGCCTGACAGGAAACACGACTACTATATCGTAATAGAGCTGTTTGATTCTATAACATTTTATGCTATTTAATTTAGCAGCAATTAAATTAGTCCGATTACGCGTTACCTCTATCTTTCTACAACAGCTGTTCAGTTGGCGGCAAAATCATTTTGCGAGAACAATCTATCGAACACATGTGTGTGTTCGTGAGCGAACTGTTTACGCAACGCGGTGACTGTCAAAATGTCAAAGTGAAAAAAAATGAGAGAGAGAACATTTTGTATTAAGCAGCATGGAGGTTATTACGGCATGTTGTTAGAGCTGGCTGCCAAATAGAGAGAGAGAAGATAAATAGAGTTTAACTATAACAATTAATGGACAAAATGATTTCGTGTAAAAATTTATGTGTTTTGCGCCAACTGCCGTTCAAGGGCTGCTGCCGTCAATACAACGCCACACTGCTGTCCGGGCGGCTGGCCAGTTGGACGACGAGAGCCGCTGCCAGTTCAACGGCTGGAGTTGCTACCTCTGCCTGGCAACAGAGGGCGCCACACCAACGGCAGCAGCAACTACAACAGCAGCAGCAGCAGCAAAGGCGAAGTATCTTCAGCTCGAGTCGTCTGAACGCCAAGGACTACTACGCCACACTTGGCGTGGCTAAGAATGCCAGTGCGAAGGACATCAAGAAGGCATACTACCAGCTGGCCAAGAAATACCATCCGGACACGAACAAAGACGATCCCGATGCGAGCAAAAAGTTTCAGGAGGTGAGCGAGGCATACGAAGTGCTCAGTGATGATCAGAAGAGGCGGGAGTACGACACCTACGGCCAGACCACAGAGAACATGAACAGGCAGGGTGGCGCGGGAGGATTCGGAGGCGGCGGCCCCTTCGGAGCCGAGGGCTTCGCACAGAACTGGCAGTTCCGCTCGACCATCGACCCCGAGGAGCTCTTCCGCAAAATCTTCGGCGAAGGCAACTTTCGCAGCAACAACTTCGACGACTTCGCCGACTCGAAATTCGGCTTTGGCCAGGCACAGGAGTTGGTCATGGATCTGACCTTCGCCCAGGCGGCGCGTGGCATCAACAAGGACGTCAACGTCAACGTCGTCGACCAGTGCCCGAAGTGCGCAGGCTCCAAGTGCGAGCCGGGCACCAAGCCAGGACGCTGCCAGTACTGCAACGGCAGCGGCTTCGAGACCATCTCCACGGGCCCCTTCGTTATGCGCTCCACCTGCCGGTATTGCCAGGGCACACGCCAGTACATCAAGTACCCGTGCGCCGAGTGCGAGGGCAAGGGCCGGACAGTGCAGCGCCGCAAGGTGACGGTGCCGGTGCCCGCGGGAATCGAGAACGGCCAAACGGTGCGCATGCAAGTGGGCAGCAAGGAGCTCTTCATCACGTTCCGCGTCGAGCGCAGTGACTACTTCCGGCGGGACGGCGCCGACGTCCACACGGACGCGCCCATCTCGCTCTCCCAGGCTGTGCTCGGCGGCACCATCCGCGTCCAGGGTGTCTACGAGGACCAGTGGCTGAACATCGAGCCGGGCACCTCGTCGCATCGCAAGATCGCCCTGCGCGGCAAGGGGTTGAAGCGTGTCAATGCCCACGGCCATGGCGACCACTTCGTTCACATCAAGATCGACATCCCCAAGAAGCTGAGCCAGCAGCAGCGCGCGCTCATAGAGGCCTACGCCGAGCTAGAGGAGGATACGCCCGGGCAAATCAACGGCATGGCGGAGCGCAAAGACGGCAGTAAGAAAGCAACGTAAATACTTTAAACTCCCAACTTTTGAGAAAACCCATCCAAAGCAAACGGAAGAGCAGTAGAAGGCAGATCTGTATTTGCATCATCCTCTTTATAATATTTTAAATATAATCTAATGTCTACAATCTATACGCAACTTAGAGATCGATTGATCGGGCTCTCAATTTCAGCATAGTTCATTTCCGATCGAGGAAACAGCCCACTTCCATATAATCCTTACACTGCTCAAACTTGAACTTGGTGGCCCATATTAAATATTTTCTCATCATGAATAACTAGGTCGTTCAATTTACGTAATGTTGGCACACAGTCAAGCTTCAAACAAACGGATAACTAATTGGCAGCTTTAGAGTAATCTAAAGTTATATAAGTTATAAAGTCCTAAAAGTTCTCTTCTCAAATGACCACGACTTGAGCTTTTTTAAATTTTCCTATGCTATTCGGTTGAAATGCATAATTAATTCCTAGTTCCTCTACGGAACAGACGGAATGGGCCTACCCCATTTTATGTTGGTCACTTTATTCCGCCTCACGGAATGGTGGTCCAACTTTAATACCTCCAATGCTCGCTCCAGCAGTCTTGCGCTATTATGCCTTAACAATTCCCGCTAACGGCTCCATCAATTATGTTACTTAACTTCCTTATTATTCTGCTTCCAGCGCAGGTCCTAGCAAAGCGAACGGGCCAGAAGGTAGAGAAGGAACAGCCAAAGGAACTCAAGGAGAAAGGAGAGCCACAGAAGCAACAGCAACAAGCACAACGAAGGACGAAGAAATCGAAAAATCCGAAAGGCGAACAGGAGAAAGTGGTGGAAGCGGCGGCGTAGGCTTCCTTAGTAAAATCAAATCCTTGTTCAACTGAGTTGAATTTGTCTATGTCTTGTTATCGATAACTGTTTTGTAATCGCCAATTGACCTACAAATGCCTTAATTTTTCTTTCTTTTAAGTTTTGTTATTGTACAGTCTAGGGGCTATATATATATATATATAGATTCCATTAAGTGGAAACAAATCCAAGAAAAATACAACCAAATTGAAAGTCGACATTCTCCTTGTTATCGATAAGTTTGTTTTGTAGTTACCGTTGCTTAACTAAAGGCAGCTAAATGAACGGCATCTAAAAATTCCAAAAGGAAAAGGGACAACATTGCGGAATTCATTGATGTAAAGGGAAATCGGTTAATGATAAGTATTGGGGTAGGGAAGTTTCGTTAGTGATATAAGGAAATTTGCTTCCAAAATACTGCCTTTGCATAACTTCCCTACTGTTAATGGGCAGTTCTCTTTGACTCTCTCGCGCACTCTCTCTCTCTCTCTCTCTCTCTCTGTTTTTTAACGGCTGCCTGGTTTCCAAAAATAAACTAAAAGGAAATTTACTTACCTCGCAGCAGCGCATAATTTGTGGTGCCATTCAGAAAGCCTTCACATTCCTGAAAATATGTGAATTACCATATGAATAGAACCACCCGATCTCTCTCTCTTTCTTTCTCCTACCTGCATATAGGCCACCCAATCGATCTCGGTGTAGGGCACATGCTGAATAACCAACACGTTGATCACCGCCTCAGCCAAAACAATCAGCAGAGCAACAATCGGCAGAGCCGACGGATCGAGAGCCAAATATCGAGCATACTTCCAGCTAAGGTATTTTTCCTTGAACTTCAGTAAGCGGTTGGTCGTCTTTTTACGCCGGGAATCAACACGACTCTGGCCTTTCGGCGATGCCATTTCTGTGACAAAAAATGAATTAATTTTCCGGTTAAATTTGCCACACACACTTACTCAGAGCATTAGAAATAATGCAACTGTGGGCACCCCGAAAAGGCAGAAGACATGAACGGACCGGTTATTAGGAGCGCGCAGAAATTCAAATTATGTTGACTTATTTTATTTAATGCAGATATTATCTTCGCGAGTGAATTTTCCAATTAGTAAAAAGCATAGAACGTTTTCCGACGCGTCGACCTGAACATTGTATTGACGAGTGACTCTTGAAATTAAATTTTACAGCCACTACTGCCACAGAAAACAGCAAACAAAACAGAGCAGCTTTTGCTTCACGTCAGCTATCGATTATAATTTTAAACGATGATTAATTACCAATGAGTAACTCAATCAGCTGTTAGTGCTGAATAGTGATGACAGTTCGTAAGGCGCCAATTTACTGATAACATTTAAGATTTGAATATACTACCAAAAATTTTTTAATAACCAATGAGGAAAACTTTTTTTTAATTAAGTGTTTATTTTTATTTATTTATTTTTTTTTTTTATCCTTCATTTATGGGCATAACTCCGTATGCCAGTTTCCATGCCAGATTTAGGGCTCCATTACTAGTTGGTTATCAGGCACTCCGGCACACTGATTCACCAAGCCATGTCCACATGCAAGCAGTGATGCGAAAATACACTTTGATGGCAACAGTTAAAGCAGGGGTGGGCTGCAACATCTCCTCTTCTGTATACTTCAACGATTCATGTAAATGTTTTGGCCATTTAAAAAAGTTACATGCACATCCTTGTATCACTCTCTCTCTCACCCTTGGCCCATCCACATGCAGGGTTTCAGCACAATTAATTGACAACCTGCGAATGCGGAATGTTTTTCAGATTTTCTGCAGTCTGTTTTTTCTTTTTTGCTTGTTGCTTATATACGAATAGTGTTGAGCGGCGTTTTCTAAGAATCTTTTATATATATAATCTTTCATTTTCATTGTATTATTATATATTCTTTAAGCATATTAAAGCTAAATAAGAGTGTACTAAATATAAATTAGCTAATTAAGTTTTAAATGCATTGGCTAACTTTCTGCTGAAAAAGGCTAAGCTGACAGCGCTGCCATGCATGTTGACAGACAGAATGAGATAAGTCGGAATTTGAATGGAAGGATGTGAGGAGAGTAAATTAAAAATGGCCTAATATGCAGTACCCCTAAACTATTTGAGAAAGTTAGGAAGAAAGAAAGAGACAGCGGGATAGAGAGACCGAGAGAGAGAATGAATGGTCAAAAAAAGGCTAGAGCTCTAACCTGGCAGCACTGATGCATTTTGTAATATTTTCTGTTCATTTTTTTTATCTGTACTTTTTTTGCAGTCCTTTTATTTTGTGGTGGCGTACACGTTCACTAATTGTGCCCAGTGCGCCGTGTATTTTCGAAAAAAGTTGACAAATGGCATGCAAACTGTTTTCCCTGTCCGATGTCCAGGTGAACTGCTCAAATGGCACTGCAATTATGCCAAAGGGCCAGCCAGATGGGCAGTTAGTGCGAGCGAGCTATCGAGCGGGGGACTGTAAATTTCGTACAGATTTCGAGAGAGCTTGTAAGAGTGATAGGGAAAGAGAGAGCGTTTGTAAGGAATGCCATGCAAAGGGGCTTTACGGTACATTTCAATAAATGCAGCCGAGGAATTTAAAAAAGAATTTAATTTAAGCTTGTTGCTTGACTGCTTACATTTCCAATAAACTCCAATAAATCAGAACAGATATAAAATTCACAAATATCAAATAGGAAATATCAATATTCAATATTTCTTGATTGTGGTTAATTAAGTTTATGCAATTGCTAATATATTAACATTGGTCATATATGAATATATTGTATCCGTGCTATAAGTTTCTACCACAGTATCAAAGTGTGTATGAATGCATATTCATTGCAAGACTATTGGAAACGAGAGATGAATATGAAATGCCCTCAATCTTCGATGTACATACATATGTATAGAACGTACATCTATAGAGTATTAAATAGTCGATAGGGCCCAATCGGTATTTATTTTTTGACAGCGTCTGTTTTCAGAGTCTACGCTAGTTATCATTTAAAGGCAGAGTTTTAATGTAGTATATATGTATGTATATACAAACACATATAGAACTAAATCGGTCATCGGCTCTTATCATATAATATAAATATACATATATAGACACATATATATATTAATGTGTATATACAATGTACATACATACATAAGTTTGTATGCACAATGGGGGGCTTCTCCATAGATAACTCGTATTATAACCCACTCAGTGCGAAAATGGTTCATTAATACGTTCATATATATACATACATATACATTCGAGTATGTAAATATGCAGACATTTATATATATTTATATATTTGTGTGTATATTTGTTATCAACAAAAAAAAAGAAAAAATAACTGATAATAGAATCTAGACTGTAGATTTACATACATATATAAATACGTAAATACATACATCTACATATGTATGTTTCTACAAGTGTACGTAGTATGTATGTACATATGTTTGTATGTATGCACTTATAACGCAAATGTCTGATTATAGCTGACAATCATTTTAATAGTTGCCCATATAGAAGAACTTTGCACTCGCCTTTGCTATATACAAACACCCACATACTTATGTATGTACATAAGTGCATTTGTATGTATGTGTATATATTATTAATAATTTATTAATTCTTCGCTTTGAATACAAAATGAGCGCGCCATTTATAAATGTAACAACAATAAACTGTTAATATGTGGGTGATAAAAGGCGCAGACGATTAAAAAAAAAAAGAACTGTAAAATGACTGTGATCCGTTTGAATACCCGTGGTTCATCCCATATGCGTGTTTGCATAGTAGCATCTCACTCGCACTTGCTCACACTGGCCCCTGCTATTCGCTATTTTCGAGCTCTTGTTGTTATTGTTATGATAGGCAGCAACAATTGCTTTTACTTTTGCCTTTGCATGTGCCTTTGCTTTGGCACTTTGCTTTGTGTACACACACGGCGAAGGAGACAAAACGGCCAAACAAACAAACTGTTGATAATTGAGCAGACACTGAGAATGCGAACGTTGCAAAGCACTAACAAACACACACAAGAGCTAAAGACGCACACACATACAAATTACCAACACATATGCATTTATCTAGATACACGCATGTATAGGCCAACGTAGAACTATGGGTGGAAGGTGGGCGAAACGCAGAGTACCGGGACAATTTAAGAGTTCAATCATATCAAGCGTCGTTTTTGTCGCGCCGTGTCAATGTTGTTGCTCCTCTCCTCCAACTTCTCTCCCTTCTGATATGTTCCACATGTGCGCCGCACACACGTAGAGATGTAGAAAAAAACTAAATAAAATACATACATACATACATATGTATATAATAAAAAAACAAATATCAAAGAACACACAAATGTGAATAGGCATCTATGACTTATTAGCTCCGCTACAATCCGTCAAATAGGCATATACAAGTGTAATAGAAATAGCCGAACACAAGTTTAATGTATATTGAATGGTTGAAATATTGCATTAGTAATAAACATTTACATTATAGCATAAGAGGAATGCAGTTTAATAACCGAATTTAACTTCTTTATTCACATAGATACAATCATATGTATATTTACACACCAAGCATATTCACACATTGATATATAAATGCAGTAGCGTATCGTGTTGTTGTTGCTGCCGCTGCTGGTCGACTGCCTGTTGCTACTCTGCTCTCATTTGCCTATGTTTGCTATCCCTCTTGTTCTCAGCTGGACGTAATAAGCTTACTGCAACTGTGTGGGTGCATATGAAGAGCGCTGCTCGCTCGCACGCATACACAACAACTCAATATCAAACACAACAACAACACATTCGTATAGCTTTCGTGCTGTGCTGTTTACGACCGACCGACCGACCAAGCAGTCAGCCAGCCAGGCAGGCAGACAGCAGCTGGGGCTGATTTCAGTTTGATTTTGTCAGTGGCCGCGTTCGGTTGTCGTCGGCGAGTTAACGGGACGCGCCTTCTAAAAGCCGCTCAAAGCCCAGCTTTTACTTAAGTCTCGAGCCACAAACAGAGCCGAGCAGATAAAAGAAGCAGCACAAAAAGTGTTTTTATTTTTTTATTTTCTAAATTCGTTTCGTTCAATTCGTTTTTAGTTGTGTAATTTATTACTATTATTTGTTCTGGTAAATTATTCCACATTTTTACACATATAAAAACAAATTGTCTTAAGACAGCACGAAAAAAATATTTATTTATCAGAAAACGAAGAAAACAATAACAAAATCAG